CCGACCTCCGCTCTCGCCCTTGTCGAGTTTTCTGTCACGTTTATCCCTCTCCCTCTCTCTTTTCCCTTTTGGCTCCTTGCCGCTCGCCTACGGGGTCGTCACCGAACGTCGACCCCGAGTCCACGCACCTAGTCGCCGCGACAGCGACAGACTAGTCCCAATGACCAAGTTATACATTAGCAATTGAAGGGAGATACAACGCTATGGCCACTCACCTAGTCCCAATGACCAAGAGGTCGAGATGGGGACTAGGGAGTGCCTAAGGGGGTCCTTATATACTAGAAGGGCTGCTTAGCAACCAAAGACAAGGCGCGAGAGCGAGGCAGTGAAGATGACAAAGGGAGAACAAAGGGCGGGAAGGAAAAGGCAAAGGCATGGCGATCACGGGAACGTAGCATGCGGGTGTGGGAACGTATCTACAGTGTCCAAACTGGGATGGGCTAAGAAAGGAAACGGTCCGAAAATGGAAGGTGGGCGTCAAGGGGAGGGGAATGGGCGGCAAAAAGGGGCGTCTATCCAACGTCCGCGACACTGCGTATGGAAAAAGCAGCCATGAAGGAGTCGTTCGAACGTGACAAGCCAAAGCACCACGAGTTTAAGCCCGGAGACCGCGTTTGGATGGACTCACGGGATGTCACCATCCATCAGGCCAGCCGCAAACTGGGACCACGACGACTTGGACCATACGAGGTACTGGAACGCACCGGCGAACTCACGTACCGACTTCAACTACCCCCTCGATGCAGAACCGACACGCAGTCATTCACGTTGACCGTCTCACACCCTGGACCGGGAACGACGTCAACGGCGTACTCCCACCCCCACCGGAACCAGTCGAAGTCGAAGGCGAACTCGAGTACGAAGTCGAAAAGATTGAAGACAGCCGCACCTACCGCAACCAGTTCCAGTATTTGGTGAAGTGGAAAGGATACGACGAAGGCCAGAACAGTTGGGAACCGGCGAAGGACCTCACTCACTGCCAAGAGTTGATCGACGAGTTTCACGAACGTAACCCCACCGCCCCACGTTGGATTGCAGCCTCTATCTTCCAATCCCTCCCCTGGCAACCCCTTGTCAACTTCACCACTGCCGCACCCTCTGACCTCGAATGGGCTTCCGGACGACGCCCCGGCCTAGGGTCCATCGGGGACCGACGGACCTTAGGAGGGGGGTAATGTCACGGACGTTGGACAGACACCCCTTTTTGCCGCCCATTCCCCTCCCTTTGACGCCCACCTTCCATTCGCGGACCATTTCCTTTTCGAGCCTATCCCAGTTTGGACACTTTAGATACGTTCCCACAGCCGCATGCTACGTTCCCGTGATCGCCATGCCCTTGCCGTTTCTTTCTCGCCCTTTGTTCTCTCTTTGTCATCTTCACTGCCTCGCTCTCGCGCTTTGTCTTTGGTTGCTAAGCAGCCCCTCGAGTATATAAGGACCCCCTTAGGCGCTCCCTAGTCCCCATCTCGACCTCTTGGTCATTGGGACTAGGTGAGTGACCATAGCGTTGTACTTCCCTTCGAGTGCTAATGTATAACTTGGTCATTGGGACTAGGACTAGTCTGTCGCTGGTTGCGTGAAGACTAGCTTTCGTCGGTCTCGTGCCTTCGTGCCGACCGCCGCTCTGCCCCGTCGAGTTTTCTGATACGTTTATCCCTCTTACCCTCTCTTCTCCCCTTTCGGCTCCTCGCCGCTCGCCTACGAGGTCGTCGCCGAACGACGACCCGAGTCTACGCGCCTAGTCGCCGCGACATTCATCATGATGATACCCTGGGCCCGTTGAACCTTAAGGTCATGCTCCTTAAGCTCTTCAGCTGTTGCAGTAGTAGCCGTAGTAGTGGGTGCCGAGTTGGTGACGGTCCAGGAACCAATCATGATCAGATAGCCCTTCATCTGCGCAGCCCAGTTGGGGTACTGGTTGATGTTGGAGAGAGAGGAGAGAGAGCTCGAGTCGACTTTGTCCGACATGACGAGGGAATGGAGTAGGAGATGACGATCGAAGAAGTCGTCTGGTTGCGATGGAGGTGGAGCGTGAAAGAAAGAATCAAAGTCTTGCTCGAGATAGTGAAGAGGGATGGATACCGGGACTGGCGTTGGAGGCTCTGAGTCTGGTAGTCCAAAGGCAGCAGCGCGGATAAACGGTTCGGTTGTCTAAGGATCGGAGCAGAGGGCGAAGGAGAAGTTAACAGGAAGATCTGATGGGTTAAGTGGTCCTAAAAGACGATTGGGACAGGTGTTTTCGTCGCAAGGGTACCACCAGTCTTCTTCGCTGTGATAGTCTTTTTCTTCCTCTAGGTTGTAGATGTGAGGTAGTCCTCGACAATCGAAAGGTGTTTCTTCTTCTTCAGAGGCAGGATGGTCAGGGCCAATTGCTTGCTCGACCTCCTCGTCCGAAGAGACAGGAGGTTCCGCTGCTGTTGTCGGATCCAAAACAGCCAGGAGACAGGGAAACGCGATGTAAGATGGAGAGCCA